AAATACAATAAAGCTTTCGACATTAAAAGCGGATCTTTTATTTATAGGAAGAATGAATAATTATATCAGTGTTTGGCATAATCAAAATAATATAATTTAAATGAATAATAAAACTTATCACGATAATGCAAGTATATAAAAGAGTACCTCGAATTATGAATTAAGAATTCATTAAGCATTAATAACTCGTTACAATCATGCTTAGTTACAGTTGGATCTTTTGTGTAATCTTCGGATTCATCGCTTTAGTTTATTCACAAGAAATTGTTGTACGTATATGAATTTACCAATAATATATAACCAATGATCATATATTACACATAAATTTGTCAATTTTATAAATATTCAATATACAATGTGATATTACATTGAAAAAATATAATATCAAACAAAAAGCTGACGTAAGTCTTACTAGTTAATTTTTAACATTTAATTGCATTTGTAATAATTAATTGGCTGATTAAATAATAGTTTCTTACAATGGAATATTAGCAAATTTAATGAAATAGAAAAGTTATATTTTTCATTTATTACGATATTTTTAGGGATAGTATATAACTATTGTAGGAGTTAATTTGAATTATTTTAAATATAATACGTGCCTATAATAATGAAACCATTGATTCCGAATAACTACGTTACCTTAGTATTTTGGCTCAAGTTTCATTTTCTTTAAAAATTTATTATATTCTTCTGTATATTAAAATTACTAACACAAATTCTCAATTATTAATAGTTTAACATCTCAAGCGGAGCATGATTGGTATTAAAATTAATCTACAAAATTAATGTTTTCAATTTTTAGATTCATGATCAAAAATGTATAAAGAACGCCCGAAACGCATGTGTTCAGATAAAAACTCAACCTGAAAATGCTAACTGTGTAGTAAGTCATATAAAATTACTATCTGATCTTCACTTTGCATGTTTTATACATAATTCATATTATTATTTTCAGGCCAAATACTATGCAGATCACAATTGTCATTAAGCAAAAATTATGCAATGTTTATTCTTAACGATTTTTTCAAAATTATGAATTTTTATATTGGCTTTTATGTATAAATATAATTACTTCTAATAAAATTTAAAGGAAATATTTATTTTTAAAATATAATTTCCTTAATAAAAAAATTTACTTTTCTTTTCTTACATTTCAAATGCTTATTTTAATGATTATTAAATTTTATGTATTAAGAAGATACAATGATTTTATAAATAATAAAATACAGTGTAATAAATTCTTCGGATAATTGAAAATAATTTTATTTGACTTGATATAGTATGATTTTCAAAATATACTTTGATATATTAAGAGACTCTTCGTATGAACCTTATCACAACCACCTACAGTTTATATTTGATCATATTTAAAACAACATCCTTAAGAGACCAAATGCAAAGTATAGTACATCATATAATTTAACGTATTTATAATTATCGGTCAAACTTAATCTTTGTTAAATTAAACAATTGAGAAATATCATAAAATAACGTCATTTATTGAATTGATACTATACAATTATTTTTATAATAAAATATTTAGCCGGATGTGTAAACGACGTCTATACAAAATTATTTGTATAATATAATATACTATAGTATAATATGTGTATGTGTAAATATATAAATATATATATATATATAATTTGTTAATTCGCATTAATATTACTTTATATCAGGCTCGTGCAAATGTAATAAATTTGTTCATTTGCATTAATATTACTTTATATTATTTTTAAATGCAGTCAAATAATTATTCTAATAAAATACGTGACGATAGATTAAAATACAATAAAGCTTTCGACATTAAAAGCGGATCTTTTATTTATAGGAAGAATGAATAATTATATCAGTGTTTGGCATAATCAAAATAATATAATTTAAATGAATAATAAAACTTATCACGATAATGCAAGTATATAAAGGAATACCTCGAATTATGAGTTAACAATTTATTAAAAATTAATAACTCGTTATACTCATCATGTTTAGTTACAGTTTGACTCTTTTCGTGATCCTTGGATTCATTGCTTTTGTCTATTCAGAAAAAAAAATTATGGTAAATATATTAATTTAATATAAACATTAAGTATATATTGTACATTATTTTATCAAATTTTTATATCACCATATACCTTCGTTTAAAATTAAATTAAAATTCTTTACTATGAATCTTTATGTAAAGATTATATCTTTATTTTAAAAGTATGTATTTATGTGCATTTAAAAGTGCACGTTAGTACATATGTATATTTTATTATTTTATGATTATATAAAACAAATATAATATAATAATACCAATTCCAAATTTATATATAATGCAAAAAACAAATTATGGAATATTTGTGCAATACAAACCATTTTCAATACATTCAATTAGTATAAAAAAATAGTTTTGTATTCGAAAAATTTTAATATATGATAATTTAAAAATTCATATAAAGAAATTTATTAATTTTGTTTGATATTCTTTAATATATTACATTTTTAATGATCAGTGACAGAATTTTATGCAGAATTTTATATAGCTTGTTTATAAATTTATAAATTTAGATTATATTTTTGTTTGGGCTCGTTTTTTGTATGAGTTTTACATGTTTATGTATGAAGATATCAAATTTCTACACGTAATTTGTTTTTAAACATTAATTTCAAAATCAGTAAACATGTGACCATAACTTTTTGAAAGCAAATCGTATCGTCAGTGATTCAAATTAGGAAGAAATATTTTTTTTTACACTTTCTAGATTAACAATCCGGCATGTGTAAAAAAAGCTAGGGAATATTGCAATGGCATTACACCTGAAACTAAATTTGCGAAATGTATGGTATGTTATATCCGCTATATTCAAATTTTTATAGTTTGTGTATATATAATATAAAATCTCGAATTATTATTATTATTATTATTATTATTATTATTATTATTATTTCAGAATAATTACTTCATAGCTCATAAATGTTGAAGATAATTGATGAAGATTTAACGAATTATGTTAACTTTTAATCAAAATTTCAAAAAATGTATCTTACTAAAAGCATTATGTAATGAATACTATTCTTAATAAAATTTGTCGATTTTATTAAAGTCAAATTATATCTTCAATTCATATTTGATGGTAATTCTACGCGATTTAATGTTTTTTACTATAGTTTTTAATGCTATTAACGAAGTTTTTGTAAAAATTGATGAGACTAATGAGATAAAAATTTAAAATTTCTATAAATTAAAAAACTAATATAAACATAAAAATTTATCGAAATTAATAAGAAAATGCAAGAATGACTTAAATGTTTAATGCTTGAATTAAATTTTTACTAAAATATATTAGACAATGCTGATCAATACTGAAATTGAACAAACTTACAATTTCGATTATCAAATGAAATATATACACAGTTTAATCCCCTTTATTTTTAATGTAAAACTACTGGTAAGTAACTAAATGTTCTTGATGAAAATTTCATTTTATTTTGAACTTAATTCACTTAATTTTTCAACTCAACTTAACTTTTTAATTTATACCTATGCAATTTAGTAACGTACTTAAGACGAATATTACTAATGACCAAAATGCATAGTTTGAAATATGTTAATAATTTTCATAATATATCAAAAACATCCTTGTAATGTACTCGTAAATATTTAAGTTCCTAAGTATTCTAGATATTGAAACATCATTATTGGTCTACAATCTTGCATCTCCTATTTTTCGTAATCTATCAATAAATAATAAAACAGTAAAATCAATAAAACTAAAATTTATAATTATGAAATCATAATTATGATTATGAATTATGAATTATGAGAATTTTCTTGATTTTTTTTTGCATAAGCTGTCAAAAACAAATTAAAAATATTACAATGATAACTCTAACTCGTATACTCTAAGTATCAATAAAGTAAATATTAATCTATAAATATAATTAAAATAAATAATATCACGTAAATGCTATCTTTTATTTAAAATATACTTTTGACATTAAAGTTATGTACTTTACATATAAATTCAGGAGATATATTTTTTATTTTATAACATAGATTTTGAAAAGAATAATATTTTAGCATTTCAGATAAATTAGAATCTATGTCAAATTTTTATATAATTTTAAATTAATTTAACAATTATTCAATAATTATTAATAAAAATCTACATTTTTAACTGTAAATAAATTTAAAATTCACTTAGTCCTTGATGTAAAAATAAAACTATATGAAAATTTTGTATTAAAATAAAAGCAAAGAGAATAAATACATTTACGTATAGGTACTCTTATTAGAAATGTGTGTATATTCTTATTTTGAAATATATACATTTTTACATGAAATAAAATGATAAAATTTGTATTAAAGTTATAACCCTTTATTTCATTTTTAGGTATTTGGTTAATTAAATATTACTACATATATCATTAATTTAATAAATATAAAATAAATGTCAGATAAAGAAAAATATGTAATTATTTTATCATCACACATAAAATTATATATTACGATACTATTAGACAATTAAAATCTGAATTTAAAAACTGAAATGTATGTGCATTTATCATTTAATAACCTAACATTACCACAAATTATTTCGGTTAAACTTTTGTTTAAAATTAAAAATTCTTTTTTTTAAATATACTGCACAATTTCAAGATAACATAAAATACTAAATTTTCTTAAAATGAATATTTATAAAAATATTTTTATTATATTGACTGTATACTGAATATAATAATAAATTATTATTTTCTTTTAAAAATTTTCATTAGTCGAATGTCAATATTAAAAAAAATTACTTTTATTTTTTTTTTATATTGTAAATATTTAAATAAAAAGTCTGTTTTATAAAAAATCTTTGCATCATAAATCATAACTTTTATACTTAAAGTAAATAATTTTCAAATTTCAAAACAGTTTGACATGAAGTTAGCTGAAATGAATATAGCATAAAAACAAATTCGATTACACATTATATATCTTTCAGCAATAGAAGATAGAAATATTTGATAAGCCGGAAGTGTCCACGTTTTCAGACTCCTTCGAATATTTCGAATATTTCAGAATCCTTCGAATCGATATTATGCTGAGTCACAATTCTGAAAATTCCTCTTGTGCTAATTACATCTTCCAAGATTATTTGGAAAAACCTGTGATAGAGAATATTTTAAATAAATTTACTATGTGAGTAAAATGAGTCAGTTCATCACCGTACAAGGTATATAAAAATATAAAAACTTCTATAGTAAAGAAGTTTCAACTATGCTAAACATTTGTTTAGATTAATCATTAGAATAGTTCTATAAAGAGTGTCTGTACTTTAAATATTTGATGTTTTTACATTTTAGTTGGACAATGTGGAAATCAAATTGGTTCAGCCTTTTGGCCATTGACATTGCATGAGTATGGAGTACAAACGACAAGTGGAGGTGTTAACCTTCTTAAAATGTACAAAAATTATAGTAAAAATAGTAAAGAACTTTCCGATGCTTTCAGTAGCTTCTTTTATGTGCCGGATAGTCAGCAGCATAGCTTTGCATTTAAAAATGTGTCAGACTTGGAACAAGCCAAAGTTAAAGCCAGAGTATGTTACATAAAGTTATATATTTTAAATATATAAACAAAACTTATGATTTATGATTAATGTTTTTTATTATTTTTAATTTACTAAGTTTATCAATTTTAACATTTACAATAGTTTCTAGAGAATCCCTATTACTATAACTTTTCATATAATATTAAATAATTATTAGACTATTACATTATATTTTTAAATTCAATTAAATTACAGGCAGTATTAGTAGACATGGAAGATAGTGTTGTAAGTCGATTTTCTCAAGGTCCACTAAGCAATTTATTTGACCGAACTTGTACTATAACAAATTATCCAGGATCAGGAAATAATTGGTTTCTAAATTCTTATATATTTTTTTGAAAATAAAATTGTCTTCTTCCTGAACTATTAACACTTAGCTGTTTTAGGGCAGTTGGTTACTATACTCATGGCTTAGAATATTATAATAGACTGGAAGAGACTATAAGACTGATGGTAGAGAAGTGTGATTGTCTTCATGGTTTTCTATTGATGCATTCAGTAGGAGGAGGCACTGGTTCTGGTTTGGGAACTGCAACTTTAAAATTATTGGATGATGCGTATCCTCATGTCGACAGGTAAACAAATATAATAAAATCTTACATTTGTATATGTAAATACTCTGATTATCTATTATAATTTTTTGAGAATATGACTTATAATACAATTAGTATTTTTAATTTTACACAATCACTTATGGTGTTTACATAAAATAGGATTTATAATACATATATATAAAAATATTAAGACGATTATTCAATATATTGACAATATTTAATAAAACCAGTAAGATAATTTACAAAATTATTTTGAAATATACAATAATTTAAACGATTATTTAATTGATTGCATCGGCATGTATTAATTTATTGTAAAAATTATAATAATGATAATTGTTTATTATTAAATTAAGTTGTATATTATTATCAAATAATAAAAAAATATAAAATTACATAATCTGAAGTCTAAACTTTATTTTATTACATTTCATGAATAATTAATATTACAAATAAGATTATTTATATTTAATAAAATAAAATAAAAATTTTAATATTTCCTAAATTATTTTCCTAGATTTGTTTCTAGTGTATATCCTGCAAGTACTCAAGATGTTATCACAGCACCTTACAATGTTTTATTAGCTACTCGAGAATTAATTGAACATGCTACTTGTGTATTTCCTTCGGAGAATCGAGCCCTTCAAGATATGTGTAACATGTATAGAAATGGTAAAAGAGAAAATGCTGATCAGGCAAAATATAATGCTTCGTGCTTGCCATTTCAAGATATGAATAGTATTATAGTGAACATGCTTATGCACTTAACAAGGTTAAAAATACAAAAATACATTTGCGAATTTTTAACCTAATAATTTACTTAATCATAAAATACGTAAAATTTTATTTACAGTGGCTCTAGATTTTCAGGAAGTTTAAATACAGATATGAATGAGTTAGCGACAAATCTTGTGGCATACCCCAATTTGCATTATATTTTTAGTAGTATAAGTCCAGTAGCTCTTACTGCACCATACATAATAACTACAAATAACAAAAAGTAAAACTCTTAGAAAAAATTAATGAAAATGCATAATTTAATAATAATATACTTTGTTTAGATATTATGATGAATTATTTACAAATGCATGGTCCAGAAATAATCAATTAATAAAAGTTGATCCACTACAATCAAGGTCACTTATTATTGGAGCAGCACATATATATAGAGGTGATGCTTCATTAACCGATATACGAAGGAATATAGAAAGGTATCAATGTTTTAGTCTTATATCTATTCTCTTTTGATTAAAAATAATGTTTACTGTATTATTTAATTTAGTATTAAATTTTATTAGTTATTTTTTTAAATATAACAATAAATTAATTTTTATATATTGAAATAAAATTAATATATAAATTGTTTTTATTAATATAGATATAATAGATTTTTTTATTAATAAAATTATTTTGTAGATTTCAATCTAAAGCAAAGTTTACAGCATGGAGCAAAGAAGCTATGAAAGTAGGCTTATGTTCAGTTCCACCTGTTGGTCATCCAGCTTCATTATTGTGTTTGATGAATTCTACTGCCATATCCTATTTGTTCAAAGATATTATTCATCAGTTTGATAAATTATACAAAAAGAAGGTAGATTGATATAATGAATAGATTATATAAGATATTTTAATCCATGTAAATTTATTATGGTATTTATTGATTGTATAATTTTAATTGTAGGCTCATATTCATCATTATTTGCAAGTCGATCAATTTGAAAATGAAGATTTTATTGGAAGCAGAGAAAAAATCCTTAGTGTATTTGATCAATACATTAGGATTGAAAGGCAAACACCAATTAACATTTCTAGACTAGAATTGAATTAAATCTTGGTTAAATTAAAATTCAGTATTTATACTTCCAAAAAATGATTTTATAAATAAAATGTTATTTATGAATGTAGATATATGAATATAATCACTTTTAAGAATAAATTGTAATATACATTTATAATTTTTCATAAATCAAAAAATTAAATTAAAAAACAGTGCCTGTAGTCAATAACAATCCTTTATTTCTTTTCATATATTAGGTGATAAACACAAAAGTATCATTTTTTATTAAATAATTAACAACCATTTTTGAAATATAATTTTATTAGCATATGTTAAAATACAATAAAATAAAATATATTAAAATGTTAATTTGTATAAGAAAAATAAATATAATTTACAGTATCTAAGATATACAAAGATGTGATAGAATTTAAAATATTTTCTGTATCACATAGAACAAGCTTGTCTGGTGTAGATGGATTTGCAAATATGTCAAAATTTAATATCAAAGCGAAAAAAAGGTTAATTTAACTTTCAAGAATATATATACTTTATATAATTATGCTAATACTATAGTAATAGATTTAACAAAAAAGTAAAGATTTCATTAAAACATAATGTTCAACCAAAATAAAAATATGAAACATACATGAGTATTTTAGAAAATATTTTAATATTTTGTTATAAATTAAATATTGTTTCTTAATTAGACATAAATTATTATATAAATTGAATTATATTATTAAATGAAAACCATTTTTCTAAACAAATATACAATGTACCCTATTTAAAAAACAATCTCATAAATTGTGCTAAACGTAAACGTTTAATTTTCTGTGTTTTCGTTTAATCAAGTATATTGTTATTCAAGATAACTTGCTTATTCCCATGGAACTTCAAAGTATCATTGGATTTACCAAGAACAGTGTCTTTAATTAAAATAAAGCAGAAGTATATAAACAGTTGATTACTTTAACTGGCAGGTATTTGAGGTAAACCAAATTCATCTACTAAAACTCCATCCTAAAAATATTCAAATTTTTAATATAAATATATGGATAATAATGTGACATGATATTTATAAAGCATGAACTGTGAAATATCCAATATATAAAACATGTCGTTATTGATTTGTAAGAATAAAATTTAAATTTATAAAAAATCTGGAAATTTACTCTATTTGTAATGGAAGCTGCCCCAGGTTCCTTGTCAGGTGCACTAGGAGCTTTAATAGCATCATCTAAGTATGAAGTATCGGTGTCTAATGCTAAATCATCACCCAGAGCATCCAGTTCTGCAGCTAATTCATCATCATCGATATCTGGCATTCCATAGGATCGACCCATTGCTTCTTGAACTTCATCAGCTTGCTCTAACATATCAGCAAGATCATCTTGTAGATCCTAATTTAATTAATAAATTTTATTTAAAGCTTCTTTAACAGACAACAAACAATTTTATTAAAAATTTAATATTAAATTTACTGTTCTCCTTTCCAATAAAATAAAATAATAACAAATAGTTATTAATTTTTACATTATAATAATTTTTGTCAAAAATATATTTTACTATGAAATGATTGATTGAGATTAAAAGCTATTTAATATAATGAAACTGAAACATTCAAATAAGCCCAAAACATTAAATGCTATATCTTATCTAAATCTAAAATAGTTTTTTTTTAATGAATATTTTATCTTGCAAAAGTAGTATAATAATTTTTTATACCTCTATATTATCTATATTAATATTTTTGAATTCTTTTTGCATTTGTTTAACGCCATCCTTCATTGCAACAACTGTAGCTTGTGTATCTTTTAATGTTTGAGTTGTATAATTTGCTTGTTCCATATTAAATGCCTGCTGACGTAAATTGTCAACTTGTGATTCATACATTTTCCTCTGTTTAAGAACTCTAAGAGCTTTAGCTTTAACTGCATTCTTGGCTGCTCCATCACGCATTTTAGCCATTTGATCTTTAAACTTTTTCAATTCAGCATCAAGTCGGGCAATTTTTTTTTCTGCAGAATCTGCCCTACTATCAACCTATAAACATAGTTAAATTACTTCAAACTACATATTTATATCATTATATTTAATTAAAAATTAAAATAATTTCAATTCTGATCTTTATTTAAAAAATTCATTATAAAAAAGTATATAAAAAATATAAAATTGCTGAAAATTTTTATCGTACTATATATATTTATTAAGAAATAAAAATTAAAATGACTTTTATTGATAAAGGAATAAAGATATTTTAAAGAAAATTTCTTTATTTAATAAACTAATTTAAAATTAAAAATAAACTAATATAATCAATGATTAAAATCAATTAAGAAAAAATTACGATAGAATTAGAAAAAAATATAATTAAAAAATTCTTCGAGCACAAATAAAAAAATAAACATTAATTCAATTCCAGTAACCTATAACCTAAAAGAACATAGTATTCTACGAAAATGATTCTCACCCCAGCGATACAATCATTTAAACTTGGTGGAGGTTCCTTTGGTTTTGCACGACCAAATAATCGATTCATTTTTGTAAAATATTGTCAATTTAAAGAATAATTAAAAGAAAATTTCACAAATACGAACGTCACGGGTATAAGGCAGTTACTTTTTCTTTTTGGCTTTTCTACTGCAAAAGCAAAATGTCAAAATATTTCTTGTGAATACTAAACTCTTCATCTACGCATGTGCCATACTTCGGCCATTTTGTTTTTGCGCATTTAATATTCAAATAGTATAATAATGGGCGATTGTTCTGTTTACTTATGCTTGCGTCTGGTAGCGATTTCAAATGTTTTCCAATAATATTTTAAATATTCAAAATAATATAATATATAATTTTAAAAATATTTCATTAAAATATATTGATTTTCACAACATACTAACTTATAATATGAATTATTATATTTGAAATTTATAAAATTATAAATAAATAATATAGTAACTAAAATTCGACTTCGTCTATAAAAGATAAATACAGATTAAGCAATATATAGTATGTAAAATGAATAAAAAATGTATACATGTGAATATGAAATAAATATATTTTTTCTATCTACTAATATATGTAATCACTTATTAATTAAATTTATATTTTATAAAGATAGATATTTTCTGTTCTTATTCATATGTGATTAAATAAATAATAACCACAGCTGTTTATATTATAAATCTAACATCTAAATGATAATTTATAAGTAAAGAAACTTTTATAATTTTATTTATTCTTAAAATAAAATAGACTCTTAAAAAAAAATTAATTTTTAAATTTTCAAGAATTGCTGTCTAATAGTTAAAATTTTGCATTAATTGTACGTTAAACTGTACGTAAACTACAAACTGTACAAACTACTCTACGTAAACTGTACGTTTTCATAGATTTAGATACTACATTAGGTGTATAAATTAATAAATTTAACGCTAAGATTTACATTACCTGTTTTCAGTGTCATGCATAAAAATGAATTTAAGGAATTTATTGGGTAAAGACATATTTCTTTTATTAATATGTCTGTTCAATTCGCAGGATTATTTTTGAAATAAAAAATATCTTAGGAGATTTTAAAAATATTGTATAATTAAATGGTCTTAAATAATTATCAAGAAATCTAATAATTTATTTTGATTGTTAGAATAATCAATTATCAATAGTTGTTTGAAATAAACTGATCAATTTATATAATTTTTTATTAATACTAAAAATTTTGTTTATTATCATCGCTAAATATATTACAATTCATAATTGCTTTCTACATCCAATCTATTAATAATAAAACAATAATAAAATTTTGAATTCTATAAATAAAATTTAATAATAAATTTTAAAGCACTGTCTACAGAAATATTAATTAATTATAAATTAAACGCATATATAAAAGAATTTAATAATATAGGATAAAATACTTTTGCCATTACAATCACATATTTTACACGAACCTTTTTCAAAATATTAATTATTGCAACCTAGAAATTTCTGTAAACTAATTCTTTCATTAGAAAAAGTTTTTAAGAGGTAGTCAATTATTAAACAATATAATAAATGTATAACAAAAAAAGTTTCAATGTTTCTAGTTCTAGTTAATCACTTATTATTTATTACTTATAATAAATTATAGTATCATAAAATTTAAGAATTCAATATTATTTATATTAACTTCAATGTTTTATATTAAAGTACTATGTAGGTTAATATAATAAGAATTTTAGTACCATTTTCAAAATTTTTTTTTTTTTTTTTTTTTTTGGAACATTTGTTAATATGCAGTTAAAATTGATTTTGCAGTATCTTAAAATGAGTACAAAATATGCAAATACAATAATCGATTGATGAATACTTTTATTTTTCATTTTGTCTTTTCGAAAATTTTAATTAAATTCGTTGATAAAGAAAGATAAATTTGGAACATATCAACACATGAATTAATACTAAATTTTTATGAAATTTTTACTAGATCAATTAATAATCACATGATTTAATCGTCATTTCCTTCCAATAATAGATTCTACGCTAAAAGAAATTTTCAATTTTTTATTCACTCGTGCATCGCCATTATTCTTATGCAATGATTCGTAAGGATATTTGAAATCACATGTGCCGTCATTTAAATGTGATGTTATACTTGGTGTATTTGCTATACATGAAAACAAAGGTATTTGTGGATACGTTGAACATGTATTATGAAATTTAATTAACGATTTGCTCTGTTTATTATTCTGATCAGTCTCTGTCATTATAATTGATCTTGAGACATAGTCTGGATGATCTGAAACAAATCCAAAATCTAACTTTAATCTATTAAATCTATTAATAATTATCTAATATATTATAATTGTAATAATAAATATATTTGTTCTTCTGTTCATATAGAATGAAAAGTCAAAAGATTTGGAAGTCAAATTTGGAAATAAAAAGAAATCCTTTGAATGGAATAGTAATAAATAATTGTAGAAATAATAATCATATGATAAAATCATAAGATTTTAAGATGAAATAATCATATTCGTAATAAAATAATGTTCCTTAATAACTTCATAGATATTAAGCATCAAACCATTATAAATATTTTAAAAATATTAGTAATCGCAACGATATTAATAATTTAAAAATATTAATTTGTAATATCCTAAAGCTCAATGATTATCCAATTATTACACAATTATAATATTTATTGAATTTAGCTCGATTTATAGAAAAATATTATAGAAATATATTGTATCACTAAACTGCTTATATTATAAACAAGAGATTCAAGTGTATGAATATAGTTATTGTATAAATTGATTATAATTTATTTGTGTGTGAAAATTCATAAACAATTATATTTAAAAAATAAAATAAAATTTTTGTAGAATTAAAATAACGTCATAAATTTCGATGATATATTTCAAAATAAATAGTAATATATATTTTTCTTCTATATGTGGTACTTAGTTTTATATAATTCAAAAAGACAACGCATGTTATCTTCACACATTAAATACAAGTAATATTTATAGAAATATATTTCTGATGACATTAATATTTTATTACTATATTTATGTAACATGTATAATTATAGTAATTATAATAGATAGATATGCTCATTTATAACAAAATGTTACATAAATTATAAAATATCAACACTTTAATAAATTATTTAAAAAGGTCCAAATAAATCTAATCTAACATTTAAGATAATGTTATTATGTTATTTAAAAAAATATGGGTTTCAAGTATAATTCAATTACAAACGATAATTTCATTTTATAAAATAAACATTATACACCAATTCACAATAGACTCATACTCTTAAGCAATTAAAAAATTATATAATTGTGCAGGTAATGTCTTGCAATCGACAATGTAATGATTAGTATTTGTAAAAGAAATCCGTGAACCTGTCATACCAGGAAGATTATTCAAGATACGAATGTCTTGGTTGACGTTTTTCTGTCCAGGATGCCGATCCAGCTGTACCCTATGGCGCTCAAAATTCCGAAGTCTGCGTTGATAAGCTGCTATTGCCCTCTGTCGATTCTGGACATGATTATACTTTCCAGTGTCGTTCATAATAGTTGTCCCTAGGGATACCCTGGCTCCTTCCAGGTTGTCTCGTGCCTGTTGCTGTCGACGCAACGCCACTTGAGCTGCCATCACTCGTTGCCTCTCGACCACCAGCAGACAACAAGGACAGTGACAGTTCTTCCACGTGCATAGCCGTTTGTGGCCCTTTAATTCCGATACGACTCCATGGTTACGACACCTGGCGCACTTTGGGCTACGCGTGCGACATGGTGGAGAGACAATGACTTCTTCTACCAAGTCGGACGATAATCCTTTGTCTACCAACACATAATTCAATTCAATAATTTGCTAGAACCGATGGAAAAAATCGTGCATTCGTTTTATTTCAAATTGTTTTGTATTCTGATAATTAATATTATGATTATTCATTCGCATATATGATAGGGAGTTAGCTGTATAAATAATTTCTCGAATAAGACTTTATAATATAAAATTAATTAAGTCGAGAAATGTATAGATTTGTATTAAATGATTACATTAAAAAAAAATACTATGTCTGAACAAATATAATTTTTATATAAAACATTTTTTTGTTTAAAACAAATAATTGTATTTCATCATAACATTAAAAAAATAAAGAAAGAAGGAAAGAAAGAAAGAATGAAAATTGATATAAAAATAATAAACTAATAAGTTCATAGGATTTAATATTTACGAGAAATTTCTTTAATTATCTTTCATAAGATTTTATTCCCATTAAAATAATTTCTGCATTTCACTGAATCATAATCTTCATCTTAACGGTAATTAAACATTTAGTAGAAAATTTCCTTATTTTACACTTAATAAAATGATGATAACGACTGACCTCCAATTTGAAAATTTGATGTACCAGCATCGCCATGACTTTTCATTGTAATACACTTGTAAATCTTTATCGTAAATAATAAATTGTAAATACTCATATAGGCCCCGACGCTAAGCGTTACAGCAGCCAAAATCGACTGCTGGTGGGCTTTGTAAAAGCACAAAACCGATCTGGCATTTTAATCCCTGACACGCCCATCTAATTTGTAGCCGTCGACAGTAATGGTTTTATTGGTGCTTTATGTTAAGCACCCACAGCTAAGCCACGCCTACGTCCGACCAATCCAGAAAGGGATAGTCCGACAATTACCAGATATGAAACGCAGTGGTCTGGCATTTTAATGTCTATGTCTACGATCGCCATTTTATCGAAAGGTGTGAGTATCGAAATTGTATTGAAAATGGTGATGGAATAGTATGAAGGTTTTCTTATTATCGTTTGGACCGTTCAATTACAATTTCTAATACAAATATTGTTTAAATAAATGGTGTGTAGTTTTTTTTTATCAAAGAAATTTTTCTGTCAATCATATCAATCACTCTTTAAGAAAAAAAATAAAAAATTTGTATCTTTATCAAATTTAGACTTTTACAACAAGGATAAAATAATCCATTATTGGATATATGAAAGTTCAAGTTGCAATTATACATTTGCTCAAAATTTTATTCTCAATTCTAGTTTTATTTAGATAAAATTAATTTATCAGAAACATTTCAAAATATACTTGAAGCATCATGCGAAAGTAGAAATAGTAATAGAATTGTTATCATATAACTATATAGAAAATATTATAAATTATTATCTTATTCATAGTATTCAATATTTTGAATTCGATTACGATATTTACCAAAATAATATTAAAGTAATTTGATAAATTGTAAATTACACAGTAAATACACGTTTAAGCTACAATCATATTAAAAATATCATTATGAATAGACTTATTTTATAAAAGTTGTACAATACATGTAGTATCAAATTAAATAAATGATTAAACAAATTAGAATTAAATAATTTCACTAAGTATAACACGAATGCAATACAAATATGTCTTCGATCATACGTACTTATTAATACAAACGACTAGGTTATTAAAAAAAAGTTCTTTATTTATTTTTGTATTTGTTATTTTTTTGTATTAGTGTAATTTTGTATTAGTTCTTTATTTATTTGCTACCGTATTGAGAGGCAAACAATATTTTAAAATGATATATATTTTCTATAATTTACAACCTTTTTTAACCACTGTAATTTATTTGTCAATTATTTCGTAAAATGTAAACATTCACATATTTTGTTTTCATTTTATATTATTTTGACAACAATATTTTTATTTGCATTAATTATTGCAACTTCTTATTCGCATATTATATTTAGGAACTGATACTTTCGGTTCACAACGATTGATACTAAAAAATATTAAAGATAAAAGAAGACTGATGCTACTTTACTGTCAAATATTGATTTATTAAAATTAATAGTAGGTTGTAATAATTTGCAATTTATTGAATAATATTTATACATATTTATTCCATAGAAGTTTATTGCAAGCATATATATATATATTTTTTAATTTAAATGACGTTAAATAATTTCATAAAATAAAGTAATAAAAAATTTAATAATGATACATTTTCATTGAAAAAATTGTTGAATAATTTTCATAGATTTGGTTCAGATACAATATGTCTTAACGAAACAAAATTGTATATTAATTAATATATTTATTTATATATTAGTAAAACATAATCTAATTATAAATGATTTAGATTTTTACATATTAAACATGATAAAGAATGATATCATCTTTCTCTTTTTTTCTTGAAATATACAAGCATGATGTGTATCGGAAAAATTTAGTTTTTAATTTAATTTATAAAATCATCATTATCTATAAGCATTTAATAGAAATCAGAAAATTTGGTTCTTACATATACTTTCTTTCACACACACACACACACACTCTCTTAAATAACATCGAATTTGTATATTTACTTATTTGATTTTTGTTTCTATGATTTCAGTTCGTTTTTTGTTTTTTAAGCACTCATTAATCTATAATATGATATTATATAATAATATAATATCAAATAATATAATATAATATAAAATAATACAATATAATAATCATAAAATATAAGGTATGTTTGAATTGCATTATGAAGTTAATTATATTATAGATATTTAACAAAATTTAAATTAGTCATCTTAAATTTATTGTGTCACTGTGTTAATAATAATTTAGTTATTGTTAATTAAATTATTTTCCTAAATTAAATTTTCGATTTCCTAAATTTTCGAAAATTATAAAATGTGTCGTTAATAATGTTATTTAAAAAATGTAATGAACCTCGAATGTTAAGAGTTTTATATTTTATTTTATATATTTAAATAAATTTAGATTATAAAAATATTCGTTAAATTAATAATTCATTTTTAGCATGTTTTAATTAATATAATATTAATTAATATAAATAAATCAATATAAATAAATTAATATGATTTTTTAACTTATTCCAATGATGGCCTTTCAAAATAGAAGCATTGAAATTATTTGATGGAGTATTGAATATACAGTATTGAATGTTTCATTATATTTGTAAAAATAAAACAATCAAGCAATTGTATTAGTATAAAATAATAGTAATAATGTGATATTCACATTTTTAATTTAAATTTAAATATAAATATTTAAAATATATTTAAAATAAGGTAAAATTTTAAGTATTGAATTTCGTTTTAATTATTAATTACAGAAATCAAACTAGTTTTAATGAAAATGACTAATTTTCATATATAATATTAATTTCTATTTATTTCTAATGCTCAATATAATATTTAAAAATAAACTATAAAAATAAAATAATTTTATTATTAAATCTATAAATCTTATTTTACAATAATGCAAATAATTTATAGTTTCATTGTATATAGGCTTTTTGGCATACGTATATATGAGTTCATATTTTTGTAATGATAAATATAAATTTGTAGTAAGTTATAAAGTATATCTTAGAAGTTGCCGCAACTAAAGAAATTCGAAGGAAACGAGAAAAAGTGTCATTTTTCCGGAAGAAGAAAAGAAAACAATATCATCTATATGTTATGCATATCGCAGATAACTCATGCAGGATACGGATTTACATTATTTACTTCTTTCCAGAAAAGAAATACTATTTTTAAAGAAAATCCTGTATTTATTATTACCAAAATAATTTTATGATTTGTCTCTTATTATAATTAATTACTCTCTGGCTTATTTCATATGTTACTGGACGTATATCCCTTATGCTCTATGTATAAAAATCCTGTTAATTTTATATATCACGATATATAAATATTCATATTATGTTTAAATAAAATATTTTTTAATGAATTGTTTTATTTAAATTAATTAAAAATAAGATTAATAGTCTTATCTTTAAGTTCACATTCTTTAATTACAAAAGCATTATTTAACCATTTTATAAATCATTGTAGAAAAAAAAACTTTGAAAAATCAGAATAAAAATTTCATAATAATAATACAATTTTTATATTTAAAATGTATTTATACAATATTAAATATTGGCTTATAAATAAATTAAATATTGTATGTACTGATTATAAATGCTATAATAAGATGGGTATTACCAATAATATTATAATAAGTAGATATAATATTTTAATATATTATTATAAATTTCAATATATGATTTGATATATTGAATCCAATAATTTCGATATATTAATCGAATTAAAATTTATTTGATAAATGTAAAGAATAAATGAGAAGATAAACATTAAAAAAAATCTTTTTTGTAATAATGGCATATTTATGATGAAATACTTATTAAATCGATAATTTAAATAATACGTTAATAGTTATAATAATTTGTTATAGGTTAAAGTAATAAATTTTTATAGTTTATGAAAAAACTATTTTTATATTATAGTATTATTTTAGCATTTTAGGTACTTTAGACATAAATTTTCAAAATACTTTTTATTTATTATTAAAATTAGAATAATTATTGCACATTATTATCAATAATGAAACTTTAAGGAATCTATTTTACTCAATTTTTTAAAACAATACTGATTTTTACATATTAAAAAAAAATTAAATTAATCACGCAGTATTAATTACGTCGTATTAGTGATTCTTTCTAAATGTAAAATATTAACTAAAATTCTAAATATAAAATTCAATTTCTGTAAAATATAATTTTCTTACTTTTGTATCACAGGATTATGTTAATGTGAAATAGTATAACTACTATATTGGTGTATAATAATATATTAATAGTTTGAAATAAATATATTAATATAATATACTTATAAGTATTTTAATTCAAATTTTTCTTGGATAGTACATTTATTTTAAATTTAATTGTAGGGTTTGTACGTTTAATGTTATATTATTTATTAATATTATTTACTTTATAGAATATTTTATGAAAAATCAAAAGTACATAAATGAATATCTATGCCTAAGTAATTAACTAGTCAGGGGTAATTATGCGAGAAGTTAAGATTAAAAAAATACAAGTACGGATAACTCGTAACTTTTAATTTAGTTGTTGTTTTACCAAGATGTTTAAAACCCATTTGGCATATAGCCGAATGTTATCAAGGCGTAGTTAATATTAGGCTGAAGTTGAGGATCTGTTTTTATAGCACATGAGACTGCAGATGCACGGATGTGTATGCGCACTGAAACTGTATGAATGTTTTTATAAAGTTGTCGCTCTTCCACGCGCATCCCTTCATTACTGTAAAATCGTTTCGTTTCTTTAAGTCAAACAAAATGCATTCGCGCATGTCTTGTACAGATCAGTAACAGTGTTCTTTACTATTATTTTAGGTCAGACACAAAGAACATAGGTTTATGTATACAATTGTCAGCACTTCAATTCTGAACCTTTTAATTCTTGGCAGTTAATACCAATCGCTATGTTAAATAAAATGACAATACCATTTTTAAATCTAATTTAATAGAACAAAATATGCAAATATAACTAAATCTGTAAATCAAGTGTATGTTACAAAAAAATATCTCATTTTACATTTTTTCATGT